GCTCGGGGCCTGAGATTGCGTTTTGCTCCTTCTCTTTGCCATTTTCTATAGCACTGTCCTTTGACCTTTGGTGTAGAGCTTTGGTGCAGTTATCACCTTAGCACCTACTGAAATTCAGATGCAGATCTATGAAGTTTGAGTTCATCCAGTTGTGCGCAGCTTGGGTCTGGCTGCTGTGCTCAGCTCCTTCCTGCTGCAGCCCTTGGAATTGAACCTGTTGTGTCCCTGTGCAAGAGGTTCTGCTCCTGGATTAGCTGGGTGGTTCTGGCCCCTAGCCTCTCTGCAGGGACTTCAGCTGCAGTTTCACCCTCCTCAGAATTTCAGATGCGCACTTTAACTCAAATATAAATATTGCAAACCTTTCCTCTCAAGAAAAAAATTGAGTGAGAATCGGGATCCTTGAAGATCAGTTAATTAATTTTGTAAGGCAGGAATAGGCTCCTTGAGATACATGAACAATTTCTCTCCAGATCCATTGCCAGAGTTGGTACATAACAGAATAGTCTCAACAACTCAGTTTTTCAGTCTCACAAGTTCTCAGCCTACTTTCTCATATTTGCATGATTATTATGCTGTGAATTTCAAAAAATTTCCTGACCTCCTTGATTACAACTTTGATAACATGATATAATAAAGTTATAGAAAGCTTCTTTCCTATAACTTCTCCAATTTTACTGATGCTCAGCAATAACAAATTTCTACATAGACAACAAATGAATCATTCATCCATTGCAGTGATCTACTGTTTTGTAGCCTGATCCAGCCTTCCCTCTGTAAAAGTAACTGTAAATACAGCTAATTAACTAGCAGGAAGTAGCAGTATAAATTTCCACCTGTCTTTGTGAAAGCTTTCTGCAAAAGAAATACCTTTTTCAGACATCTTCAGATTTCTACATCAAATAAGAGAGCATCTTTCACCGTAATGACACCTCAGCTTCATATCCCAAATAGCATAGCAAACAGGTGACAGGACACCCTGTTGACTTAAAAGTTTATATTCTAATAAGTCCTGAAAAGATTTTTTTTAAACTGGTTTTCTTGCATATAAAGGAGTCAGTTTGCAAAGCGATACAACAAAGGTTTATTACTCCACACTTAAAAATTTCCTGAAGTTTCCCTATTGTTTTGTTTAAATTTTTTAAAATAACCTTCTTTTTTATTTATTCCCATGCATTGCCTTTGCTAGAACTGGACAGTAAATATATAGTAAGAGAAATGTCCTTATACTTTTCCTGTTGTAAAGTCATATATGCCAATGGTGGAAATTTTGAGAGACAAAAGAAGCACAAGGAAGAATTAAATTAACATTCATAAACATAGTATGCAGAGATTTTTAAAAAATTCCTTTCCTGTTGTATAACATACACCTATATACATTTCAGATGGAATATAGAACTATGGATCAACTCTCAAATTATGGCAGAAGCAGAAGAAAACATGAAAATCTCCAGCAAAAAGCCCTTCCTAAGATAATAAATCTAGCACTCATGCAAGAAATGAATGACATATCTTACTACATAGAAATTTTAAATGTTAATATGAAAATACAATGTATACAAAGTTTAAAGCAAATGGAAGACAATATTTGAAATAAAAATCTGA